CAGATGTAATCGATCTGATTCCTATGCATACCATCAGGTGAAATCCAAGTATATAACCTGCGTTTATGTCTCTTAAAAAATGTATTTGCAAAAAAAAATGTATTTGCTATGAATAAGTCATTGATTGTGCAAAATTCAATCATTCTCTCTCCAGCTCCATTTCTGTCACCAAGTCCATGTTTTTCAACTACTGAATCTTCTTCTTTGTTCCCAACTTTTGCATTCCAGTCACCCATTATTACCAATGCATCTTGATTTCATGTTCAATCGATCTCCGATATTAAAAGTTGGTAAAAATCTATTTCCTCTTCCTTGTCTCTGGTTGTTTGTGCATATATCTGAATGATAGTGGTATTCACTGGACTCCCTTGTATGCATATGGATATTATCCTGTCACTCACAATATTGTACTTTAAGATGGATCTAGCAATGACTTTCTTAACTATGAAAGCAACTCCACTTTTCCTCACCTTTTCATCTCCATAGTAATATATGGTCATCCGACTCAAAATGCTCCATGTCAGTCCATCTCATCTCACCAATTCCTAGTATGTAAATATTTATGGGTTCCATTTCTTCCTTAACAATATCAAATTTTCCTACATTCATGGTTCTCACATTTCCATGTCCCAATCACTAGTGTCTGCTTACAACGGTTCCTCTTCCTTTGTATTTCCATACTTGAAAGCTCAACCTCAGTTGCCCTTTCTGTTATCTACACGTGTTCTTTTGTACATAGGGTTTTTGGAGGCCTGCTATTTCAGAAGTGGGTGGCCAATCCTTCTTCCTAGCCTGTCTTACTCTGAATGTTCAGATTTAGAGAAGTGTCAGACAGACCAGCATTTTATAGAAAAAGTGAAAGGTATATCCCTTACTGTGGAGTTAACCATTAGTGTCAGTGTTGTCCCTGCCTTTGGCACACGTGTCTTTACCCACTTATTTCCCTGCTCCACCATCCACCAGGATATCCATCCACTTCTACCCACTCCCTTCACATCTATCTCCCATTGACCAGCCCTTGATCTGATAGCTTATATCTGAAGCTTCCTTGGCTTCTGTGATTCCAAACACGTCAGCTGCTGGTAGTTTCTTATGTTGTGACCAGTGTCTCTGAAGTTTAGTGGTAATGTTTTCAGACTTTAGTGACATTGATTTCATTCATTATGTTGTGAAACCATCACCACTATCCATTTCCATATTAATTTCATCATGTTTGCCAGAAACTTCCTTCCCCTTACGCAGTTAGCTCCTTGTTCTCTTTTTTAACCCTCTGCAGGTGACAGTTATAAACGTTAGTCTCTGTATGTTTGCTTCCTATACATGTATGGGTAGGACCGTAGTGGTGTTAGGGCTCATCCTGCTGTGGTGCGCGTCCAAACCACACCTCTCTTTGGATGGACAATCTTCCAACAGACAGATGGACCACATTTTGTTCATCCAATCATCTCTTGGTGGACACTTGGGCTACTTCCCCACCCTTTGACTGCAGTGACCATTTGTGTGTGCAGATATCTGACTGGATCCATGCTTGCAAGTCTCTTGAGCGTATCCCCTAAGTGGAGTTTCTGAGACGTGTGTGAGCTCTGGTTAACTTTCTGATTCCCATAGTGATGGCGTCATTTAACATTCCCCTCAAGCAATGAGTGAGAGTCAGTTTCTCCACATCCTTCCCATCACTTGTCAGTGTCAGTGTTTCTGATAATAGCCATCCTAATGCATACAACGGAGTGTACCCCATTGTTTTGATTTGCATGATGGCATAATGGGGTAAGCACTGGGGTGCTAACCTGAAGTCAGTGGGTTTCAAATCCACTAGCTTCTCTGTGGGGGACTGGTAAGGCAGTCTTCTTCTGTAAATATCACAGCCTTGGAAACCCTATGGGTCAATTCTCCTTTGCCCTACATGGTCACTTTGACCTAGAATCAACTTGGCAGCAGTGTGTGTTTATTTTAATGACAACTGGCCTTGAAAGCAGCCTTGATGGCATAGTGATAATGTGTGAGTCTGCTAACCGTTAGGATGGTGGCTTGAATCCAGGAGAGAGATGAACTGTCTGTTCCCATGTAGAGCCTTGGAAATCCCAGTCAGACTTGACTTGATGTAAGTGGTTTGGTAATGATCTTAGACGACTCCTCACGCATTTATTAGTCGTTTGTACTTTTGGAGATAGGTTTATCCAAGCCCTTTCCCTGTTTTTTTTTATTGAGTTGTTGCTGAGTTTTAGGACTTCTTTGTACTCTTACTAGATCTCTGGTTCCTAGATATTTTTTCCTTTTTTGTAGATCATCTCTTCTTTGGTGAACAAAAGTTCTTAATTTGAACGAAGTCCATTTTATCTCGCTTTCCATTTGTTACTCTGCTTTCACAGTCACATGGGTAAGATTCTGTTGGCAGAAAGCTAGTTCCCAAAGCGTTGCCCCATATTCTATTCTAAGAGTTTTCTGGCTTCAGTGCTTACACTTGGACCACTGATCGTATTTTGAATTAACCTTCCTATATGATGTGAGACGGGTCCAGCTTAAACCTTTTCTGGGTCCTTTAATGAGACGGGGCTGTGTGTGTGCATGCACGCGCACCTGCTTCTTGTGCATGCTGGTGAGGCTTTATTTTCACTCTCTGGAGGGACTTTTTTTTTAAATTTTGAAGATTATTTTTTATTTTATTATTGTGTGTGTGTGTGTGTACTGTCAAATCAGATCTGACTGGTACAGGAGGCCCCTGTTTCTCCAGCACAGCATCTGGTGGATTCAAACCTTGTGCCATATGGATTGCAGCACAACGTCTTGTCACTAAGCCAGCAGAGCTCCCTGGGACTTCATGTCTGTGGAAAGCTGACCATGGTCATGGTGGTCCTTATCTCTGAGGCCCTCAGCCTTCCTCTTTGATTCCAGAGGGCCTCTGGAAGACTAGGTTTGATAGTTTTGGCCGGCCCCCTTGGGCTACTTTTCTGCTGCTTCTAGAAAAATAATTACTTTGGCTCCATTCCCAGAAGTTCACAGCAATGTATGGTTTCTTGACGCTACTTGGATCTTTCTAAGTCACTTATCCTCCTCCTCAGTCCCACTCCCAGCCCCAGGGTCTGACCTGGCACGTGGTTCACACACCCACGTTTTTCCTTGTGTTCCCCTCCAGGGCTTTTAACTTTTGGTGTCAAGGAGTCAGCCATGGTCAACAAGATATTCACCTGCATCAACGTCCTTGTCCTGGGCTTCATCGTGGTGTCTGGGTTCGTGAAGGGCTCTCTCAAAAACTGGCAGCTGTCGGCAGCAGACTTCCAGAATTCATCCGGTCACCTCTGTTTGAACAAGTAAGTTGTCCCTCCTGTCCCTTGGCGGGCGGCCATGCCTTCTTCAGGTGTGGTATTTAACAACACACAGTTGTGATTGACCAGAAAGTCACATGCTCTTTGCAAAACAGTTTTCATTTGTTCTGCAATTATTATCAATGTCACTGTTATTTTGCAGTGAAGTACTTCAGATCATGTGCTTTCTTTGCTCTTTTGTTTTCCATTTGCAACCTATGTTACTGTTTATTTTCTTGAACTGAACGACATGTGGATGACAACTAAGAATGGCTTTCCAGGTCATGGCTGTGCAGTGCTCGTGGTCATTGCCATATGCCCACAGGAATTTCTGTCCCTCACAGCCTGTGGGTCACCAGCCTCCAGAGTCTGTCTGCAGAAGCGCTTTTCTCTGCACTACCGTGGAGGTTCCACATATTCTCCCCAAGTTTTGAATTCAGATTCTTAATAATTGATTGCTTAACACATGTATATTATCCTGTCTAAACGTAAAGTCACCCTGGTCTTCTCTCCAGGACTAATTATCATTATTAATCACTTGGGAGTGGGATCACTGGATTATGATAGGTGTCAGTTTAATGACCTCCAGTGGTAGCACAGGGGTTAAGCACTTGGATGCTAATGAGAAGGTTAGCAGTTCATACCTTCCTGTTGCTCTATGAGAAAAAGATGTGTTGTTTGCTTCCTTAGAGATTACGCCTTGGGGCTGTTGTGCTCTGTCCAACAGGGTCACTATTGGTCAGCATCGGCTTGATAGCAGTGGGTATTTTGAAGGCATTTGATAGCTTGACTTTTCTCCCGTTCTTTCCATTTTGTTTATTTTGATATTGTTGTTGAAACTATCCACAGCCACGTGTGCACTAGTTCAGCAGTTTCTACACAGACAGTTGAGTGACAAGGATTCTGTGAGTCACACAGCCATTCTCACACTCCTTTCCTGCTTGTCCCGCCCCCGTCAGCATGCGCTCAATTACCCCAAAGGTTCCCAGCTCATCTTTGCAGTTCCGAAGTTTGATCCTAGATGGGTAGTTCTTTAAGAGTACTGTGTTCAAGGAAGAGCTTTTCTAAGATTTAAACTTTTCCAGAAGATTTTAAAGATAATCTCTGGGCAATAGTTTCGGAGGCTCCTCCCCCCTTCCTGGTTTCAGGAAGTTTGAAGTCCACTGCAGAGAATTTGACGTTCTGTGCTGCGTTTCTCCCTGTTTGATTAGGATTCCTCTGTAGGCTCGGTTATCAAAAAGCCCAGGCATGGCAGCCGGGCCCCATCCCATTCTCCTGGTCTCGTGGGAGCGAGGGAGTTGTTCATGGAGGCTCTTACTGCACAGTCTGTGTTCTCCCCCTCCTCCGCCTGCTCCTCCTGGCTCTTCTTCCTCCATTGCTCTGGGAGAATAGAGACCAGTTGATGTGCACAGGTCTTTAAGACCCCAGGCACAGCTCAAAGAACTAGTGAATAGAGAGAAACACTCACCATACACGTTATTGGGTCACCAACCTGGGTTGTCCATGAAACTGTGCCTCTAAACCTCCAAACCAGTGCACTAAATTCCATTATGTTTTTAAAGGTAAATAAACAGCCTTGACTTTTTTCCCCTTCCTGGGGAGGGGGAGGTGTTACTGTTATAACATATCTGTCACAGTGTTTGCTGATATAGTTTTTCACAGGTGTAAAATTTATTAATTGGTTGTGCAACGCTACACTTAAGTCAGTACTCCCATCACCATGAGTTCCCTTGCCCCTCCTCTTCTGCCCCTAGTAATCCCCAGTACCCTTTGTCTCTATACAACTTAGTCTTAAACACACAAATTAGCTCTTCTGGCTTAGTGGCAAGAACCTATGCTACAATCCCAAAGGCACATGGTTTGAATCCACTAGCTCCTCTACAGGAAAAGGATAGCCAGTCTCCTCTCATGCAGTTTATAGCCTCAAAAAACCTACTGGAGAGTCAGATTTGACTCAAAAGCACACAGCAACAACACCTCGGTTTATTCCTGCACCCCAGCGTAGTCCTATACTCCACCTTAGTCACCTCAGGGACACTGGAGATTACTAGACAGAAACAGTCTTCCTTCAGAGCCCTGAACCCTCTCACAGAGACCTGATGCCAAGGATCCTGAACCACGTTTATACTCACTCTGCTTGTCACCCTCATCTGGGTGGAGTGAGCTTAGAAGTCACGGAGTGGACCTAGAGAACCTTCTGGAGCCTGCCTTCTTGGCAGGCACATACAGAGCGGGCATTGAGTAGAAAGAGCAGGTCTTGTTTCCTGGTTGCCAGTTAGTCCCTGGTTTGATGATTTTTGTGAGGAGGTGGTTTGTGGCAGGCGATGGTATTTCATCTCATGCGTCACCTCACACTGAGGGCCCTGTGGCAATGGGCCGTCCTGAGGCTGGGACAAGGTGCCCTCTGTTTCCCTGGCCCTGTGACCAAGTGTGTTCCCTCCAAGGCTCACCCGGTGGCCGTCCTACCAGCTCTGGCCACGACCGGCCAGCCCGCTGCTCCCTGAGACTTCCTTCCACTGTGCTTCCTCACAGCTTGCCCTCCCATTTTATCAGCACCCAGAAGCTTCCGTGGTTTGCTAGCTTTCTTCCCTCGCCTTTACGTTTGTATTATGTGCAGTGTTGTGTGAAGTCATGGTGTTTACTGGCAAACCACGCAGCATGCAGGGGCTTCTGTCCAAGTGGACTTGAGGACCCTTGGCACTGTGTTAGGCAAATCTCGAACCAGCTCACTGCTACCAAGTAGGTTCTGACTCCCAGAGATCCTGTAGGATCAAGCAGAACTGCCCCTCGGCTGTCACCTTTACAGGAGCAGGTGGCCTCATCTTCTCAATTAGAACCCAAGAACTTTAATCACGGCATCCTCGGGGCTCGTTTCAGTAACCAAGGTACTTTGGTCTTCATGCCAGGAGGGACCAGTCTCTGGAGGACATCATGTTTGATAAAGTAGTTGTTACATGCCATCAAGTCACTTGCAACTCATAGCTACCTTATGTACAACAGCCCTGAACCCTCCTCCATCCTGTACAACCTCACTGTCTCTGACACACCTACCTTCATTATCCCAGTCACTTAATCCATCTCATAGAGGGTCTTCCTCTCTTGTGTTGTCCCTCCAACCTTCCAAGCATGATGACCCTCTCCAAGGACTGTCCCCTCCTTGTAACATGTCCAAAGTATGTCAGATGAAGCCTCAGAATCCCTGCCTTTAAGGAGAAGCCTGGTTTCACCCTCTCTAGGATCAACCTGTTTGTTCTTCTGGCAGTCCATGGTATATTCTGCAAAAAGGAGGGAGACCCTAAATGAGATGGACTGACACAGGACCCAGCAGTGGACTTGAGAGCAGAGACTGAGGGTGGAGTTTTGTTCTGTTGGGCTTGAGGTTGCTATGAGTAGAGGTGACTTGATGGTACCTGGCAACAGTGCAGCAGTAACTCAGTGCCACGTGGGTGACTCTAAAGAACAGGCGCTTATTTCCTCACAGTTCTGGAGGCGACAGAGTTGGGCCCTCACAATGCCATTTTTCCTTGGCCCTTATGACCACCTCGTTACTGCCGCCAGTCAGCTACTTGGGAGCCAGCTACTGATAATTCCCTAACTGCCTCAGTTTCCTGGTGCCATCACGATAGAAATACCACAGGTTTTAACAGGCATGAACCTATTCTAGTTCAGGAGATTCCAGGGGTCTACCTCTAGGGGGAGTCTCTCTCTCTCTCTCTCTCTCTCTCTCTCTCTCTCTCTGTCTCTCTCTCTCTCTCTTTCTCTCCGCTAGATTTGGAAGGTCACTAACACAGGGATGCTGGGTCCAGAGGACATACTCCACTCCCAGCTCTTCTGAGTGGTCACAGGACCTTCTCTTCTCTGCTCTCTTCTCTCTCCTTACATGTTCTGTAAAATGGAAGGTCATGCAGGCCACCTCCCCAACTCCCACCCCACTCCCCACCCCTGGAAACCTGTGAGCTGCATAAGGGAGAATTGATGAACCCCAGGGCTTAGGGGGACTGGCTAGGGGTAGTTCCTCAGTGCAGTAGAGCCAGCCTGAGAGACATGCCCCATAGGGATTTCCAAGGTGTGAATTTTCACAGAAGCACACTGCCGCCAATAGCCCTATGCTTAACAGCTGGGAGCTCAACCACCGCACCACCAGGGTTCCATTAAGTATTTTTCAAGGGGCAGGGGAAGCACATGTATATCTTTTACCATGCTTTGAGCGAAGGTTTCCACTACAGTCTAGGCTCCCATTCAACAATTGGGACCCAGGTTCACTGACGCTGACCTTCCCAAGGCGTGAGCATCCTCTTTGTTTCCTTTCCGGCTGCTCAGTTCCCAAAGTCAATATTTACATGCTGCTTCTGGAAACAACCGAGCCCTACGGAGAGGCTGGCTCAGCCCTGATGGATGGCCAGCAGGCCAGTAGGGTGGGTGACTGCACCGCACTGGCACACCTCGTTTCATTGTACTCCACTTCATTGCTGTCTGCTGAGCAAAACCAAAACATGGGGCCAGCACAGGGCCGTGAGCGTCTCTCTGAAAGGGTCAGAGGGAGTGAGAATAGCACGGCCCTCACAGCCCTAGCGCAGAAAGCCCATAAAGAGCCCTCAGCCCAGCCCCAGTCACTGTCGACTCACAGACTCATAGTGGTGGTGCTGAGAGTAGAATTTATTAGGGAAGTAAGTTGGGGAGGCAAAGAATATCACTCAGTGCAATTCCCAGCAGTCCCAAGGCACAATTCCTCAGTCCAGGGTCCGGTTTCGGTTCAGCATCTTTTCCTTGCATCATCAAAGGGAAGAACAGGAAAACCTTTAACTGTGGCCAGCACAAATAAAAGAATCCTCGGGTTACACCTTGCCAGTTTCTCCCCAGCAATGCCATAGTTTCTCCACCATCATCACTAGGGTCTCACCACCAGGGTCTTGCTCCAGTCTTCCTCAAGTCTTGCTGTCACAAGCTTTGACAATATGGGAAGCTCACGCTCTCGCTCTCGCCCTCTCTGTGTCTCATCTGAGCCCCACAGCTGTTAATAATTTGCAGACCATGTGTCTGAAGTTAGGTAGTTGGAGAGAGACCAGAGGAGGCTTAATATATATAATGGCTAAAAAAGCCCATTTAGGCTGACACCACAGTTGCTCTCTGCAGATGTTTGTGACTTTGACAGATGGAAGGCCCTGCGTCAGGTTAGTCTGCCGGCCTCATTTTTTTTCCAAAAGCCAGTACTTAATCCAGTCTCAGTGTCCCGTTATTTCAAAGCTTGTCAGCATGCTCTTGTTGTTGGGTGCTGTCAAGTGCAGTACTCTTGGTGCCCCTGTGAATAGCAGACAGCAGCCTTGCCCTGTCCTGTGTCATCCTCCCTTCTCTGTCCTACTCAAGCCCACTGAGTGGTCCCCGTCTCAGCCCGTCTCCTTGAGGATCTCCATCCCTTTGGCTGACTCTCTACTTTTTCCTAGCCTCACTTAGAATAACCAAACCCAGTCCACGGCTGTAGATTTGAGGCTGCCTCATCGGATTTAAGAGGCTGTAAATCTTACTGGTCCTTCTCCAAGCATGATGTCCTTCTCCAAGGACCGGTCTCTCCTCACAACATGCCCAAAGTATGTTAGAGGGAGCCTCAGAATCCTTGCCCCCAAGGAACCACCCTGTTTAACCCTTTCCAGGACGAATCTGTTTGTTTTCCTAGTAGTCCATGGTATTCTCAATACTCTTCTCCAGCACCACAGCTCAAAGGCATCAATTCTCCTTCTATCCTCTCATGCTTGGGGGGGTGGAGGGAGGGCGCAGGAGGGGAAGGCCCTCTATGAGGCGGATTGATTCAGTGACTGGGGTAATCGGGGAATGTCAGAGACAGTGTGATTGGCACAGGACAGAGCAGAGTTTAGGGCTGTTGTACATAGGGTCGCTATAAGTCGCAAGCGACTTGATGGCACATAACAACAACAACAACAACAAATCTTACTGGTAGCAGACTGCTCTGAATTCACACTACGGACCTTTCCGTTTGCAGCCTAGCATGTGAAGTACTGGGCCAGCAGGGCTCCTGGAAGGGACTCCAGCCGCATGCTGGTGTGACTCTGATGGGCCCCAGGAAACAGCACATGTGGGGCTGGCTTTACTGTGGGGGCGGGAGCCGACCTGTGCTACCTTCACCATCAACCTGAGCTACCGCTCTGATGGGGGCCAAGTGGGAGCTGTGACCTCTGATCAAGCTCTTTATTTTTGTTTTCTAGTGCCACAAAAGAAGGGGATCCTGGAAATTGGGGTTTCATGCCCTTTGGGGTCTCTGGTGTGCTGTCCGGGGCGGCCACTTGCTTCTACGCCTTTGTGGGTTTTGACTGCATCGCCACAACAGGTAGGTCCGCCTTCCTGCCCACCTTACACTCCTCCTCCATGTCCCCTGACAGCCCCACTCTCTTCTATGACGGGCTGGGCCGTGGATGACCCCGGGTTTCCTTCCACCTGTGTTTACCTGCAGAGCCCTCTCCCTCCCTCCCCGAGTGGCCACACCTGGCAGAGGGTCAGCATTTTAGTGAATCAAGCCTTGCTTGATGAGGTCAGGGTAGCAGTCCACAGCCTGATCTCATGGCTATGTGATCTGGGAGGGACAGGGTGTCCCTGTGACCAGGTAGCAGCCATGCTTGGGGAGCTGCCTCTGTTCCCAGGGGAGCCCATGGCGCTCCAGGGCACCCACGCCTTTTTGTCTGCAGGTGAGGAAGTCAAGAACCCTCAGAAGGCCATCCCAGTGGGCATCGTGGCCTCACTCCTCATCTGCTTCATCGCCTACTTTGGGGTGTCGGCCGCCCTCACCCTCATGATACCTTACTTCTGCCTGGATGCTGACAGCCCCCTGCCCGATGCCTTCAAGAATGTGGGCTGGGAGGGCGCCAAATATGCAGTGGCTGTTGGCTCCCTGTGCGCCCTGTCCACCAGGTAAGGACCGCTGTCTCAGCTTCCCCACGTGGGGCCCAGAGGGCTGGATGGTGGGAGTTCAGACAGATGTGGTACCCCAGTTTGACCTGGCTATTCCCTGCTGTGGCCACCAGTCACCTCCAGGAGGCCCACGTCACTGCTGTCCTGGTCCTGAAACCCACAACCCGCCCTCCAGCAGCCCCTGTTTAGCCAGGGCGTGGTCCGCCCTTTGTAAGTCCCTATGTGACCCTCCATATGGCTGCAGAGCTGGGTCTGCTCTTTGAAGACGGAGTTGGTGCCTGATACAAGGAAAATCTGCCCCAGCCTTGTTCTCCCAGCCCGTAAAATGGAAAATAAGCCAAATCCAGCCAAACCCTGTGGTGTGGGTCGGTTCCAACCCCAGGCGAACCTCAGTGGGTTTCCAAGACTGTCTGTGTTTGTGGAGGAGACAGCTTTATCTCTCTTTTGAGGAACAACTGGTGAATTAGCAGCCAAGCATATAACACACTATTGGGTCTCCACAGAGCAGTTCTCGTGAGTGACCGGAGGCCTTTATTTTCTGCCGACCCTGACAGCAGTCATTGCAGGAATAGAGTCGCTGTTTCCCCTCTGAGGCCACAGCCGTGTGCTGTGTTGTTCCTGGCTGTGTGTGTAGCCTACACAGACCCTCTCTGTGTTCTCTGTGGGTGCTCTACGGATCTCCAGTCTTTTGACTGTGAGTCGCTTACCTGTCACGTCCTTGGCCACAGGGGTGGCACGCTCAGTGAGAGTGTTGCGGGCTTGTTCTCAGAGAAAGGAGCCCTGATGTGGTCAGAGCACTCACCTGCTAACCAAAGGGTCTGTGGTTCGGTCCCACTAGCTGTTCTGAAGACAGATGAGGCAATCTGCTTCCATAAAGATTATACAGTCTCTTCTTCAGCTGGGTCTCGGGGTGTGGGCACCAACTCAATGGCTGTAGCTGTTGTTCTCACAGAAGAACCATGTGGTAGCCCCAGTGCCCACCCGCTGGTTTACTGATGTCAGGCCTTCTACCTCCTCCCCTTCCATCTAGTCTCCTAGGTTCCATGTTCCCCATGCCCCGAGTGATCTATGCCATGGCCGAAGATGGACTGCTGTTTAAATTTTTGGCCAAAATCAATGACAGGACCAAAACGCCAATAATTGCCACTGTGACCTCAGGAATCATTGCCGGTAAGAAGTAGAAGGAGCTTCGCACCCTTGTGCTTTAAAGTGGGGTCTGGCCTGTGCATTAGGGTGACCGCTTTCTTCTTTAACACTTGGCAATGTTATGGTTGAAGCATCTGGCTTTGAACCAAAAGGTTGGCAGCTGGAAGCCACCTGCCGTTCCGAGGGAGAACAATGAGGCATCTGCTTCAGTAAAGAGTAGAGTCTTGGATCCCCGTGGGCGGTTCTGCTCTGTCCTCCAGGGCTGCTGTGAGTTGAAATAGAGTTGAGGACAGTGGGTTCTGCTCTGGCGACTGGTTGAGTGTGCACTGGTGAGACACTTACCTCCTAAATGAGTGAGGTATTAACTAACTTTCACGAGGATTTTTTGTGTCATTGAAAATCATGCTTCAGTTCATAATTTAGCATATATAATGAAAGAAAGCCATTTTCCACCTGTTTAACAAAGTAAGAATAAGGAATGTGCTGGCTCAAAGCTTAGGCTCTTGGTTATGCACCGAAGGCTTGGCAGTTGGAATCCTCCCTCTGACTCTGTGGGAGAGAGATTGGGTCACCATGACTTGGATTTGACTCCATAGCACCTCACAGCAGTGGCGTTAATGTCTTGATGGTGGGGACCGCGGTCAAGTTAAAGGACACTGTCTGGGCCAGAAGATGAACCATGTATTTTTTTTTATAGGGTTAAAGAATTGGGTCTTGTCACTTTCAGTGGTATGTAATAGGACCCTATAGAAATGGCCTCTGTTCCTTCCCTTTGCTGATAAGGGAACACAAGCTTTAATCTTTGAAGGGATAGTTGCACCCATGCTGTTCACCAAGCCAAGGTGAATTCTCGTCCCTCGCAGGAGTGGTCAGTAAGGGGTCGGGTTTTGAAGGTCACCTCCTGTGGCACAGTGGCTAAAGCACTTGGCCACTAATGGAAAGGGTTCTGGTTCTCCATGAGCAGGGGTGTAGGCGTCTGCGGCTTGTACAGGTGGATACTGGCCCCCCTCACGGCCCGCCCAGCTTCTTCACCTTCTGATTATCTCTCCACTCTCCACTCCAGGCGTGGTTCTGTTGCTGTGATCTAGAGGACCTTGGGGAGAGATTTGTGGAAAAGTACAAGTTTTGAGTTTATGTTACTAATTAGTGTTGATTGCGTGTGATTAGAAAGAAAATCCTGAAGTAGGACTACTTAAAATTTTTTTTCAGTGGGAAATTGGACACATTCACATGTACATGCAAAATAATAATAACAACTAATAATAACAGATATACTCTAACAAAAATAACCAAGGATTGGTGACTAAGCAGACAAATTTTACTTTTTTTTTTTAAGAGAGGGTTGATGAGAGCCATCGTGGTAAAGGGGTTGATTCAGTTCTAGAATAACTCTGTTTCCCGGGCCCATCCGTGTGACAGAGGAGACCCCGTGAGTCCTCTCTGCTTCCCAGGCCCATCCGTGTGACAGAGGAGACCCCGTGAGTCCTCTCTGCTTCCTGGGCCCATCCGTGTGACAGAGGAGACCCTGTGAGTCCTCTCTGCTTC